CGTCCTTGACCGCAGTCCTCTAGTATTTCTGTCTAAAATCCACTCATGTAGACGACATTCTACATCACCGTGCTTGGCAGGTCTTCCTCCCCCACCTAGCCTTCTTGCTGTACGCGTGGTAATATCACGGTCTCTCAGAGCTTCCTTTAGTTTGTCGCGGAGATCCCACCAACCTCGAATTGTTCCTGGAGCTATTTGGTGTTTTTTTCCCTAGAGCAAAGAAGCCTTTTCCTTTGACGCCTTTGGCGTGTTGGGACAGGATATCCAGCTTCTCTTTGATAGTATAGTTTCGGCGCTTGCTTTTCACCATGGCAACTTGGGAATGAGCAACCGACAAGAGGAACGAGAGAAGTTGTGGTCAAACACTGACAGCCAACCACCTCCTATTACAGCTATAATTACACATATTACTGCTATATGTAGTAGGCGTTGTATTTTGCTATGTGTTCTATACGAATATTTTATCGCGAAAGTTATTATTCCATTATTTTATTAAAGCGCCTAGGCGTAGTGTGCGGGGGAAGACGGTAGCTTTAGCCTGGTATCATACACTTATTAATAGTTACAAGTGTTGTTGTTTAAAAACAACAATTCAAGCGCGATATCGGTACCGTATTATGTTTACAAGTACAGCAAATCCCCGTTGCTCAGGCATTGAGAAGTGATCTGCTCCTAACAAATGTAAGTGTCGACATCTGAATGGTCAACGCTAACTTCTCCGTCAAAGTGACTCCCAAGTGGGTAATTATCGCAACTGACCGTAAATACATCAAACTTTTCCAAACTGACCGTAAAACTTACACCAGCCGGCGTTTGTACATGAAGTAAAGAGACATCCCAGTATAAAAGATACGATGTACAACTGGGACGCGGTGAAGAACAAGTATCCAAAAGAAAAAGACTGCTTCAGTGCCAGATCGGATCTATTGGTAGCAAGAAGAGTACACAGAGACCACGAAATTTCTGCAGACGGGTATGTGCAGACTGAGTATCTCACTTACTCTTGCGTGTGTGTTGTGGACTAAAGACAACTGTCGTTGCTGGTTTTGCAGGATTAATATTGTAAACGGCGAGACGGCTCTCAGAAAGAAATTAAGACGTACGTAAGAAGCAGGTGAGTCAGCGTCACAGGAATGAATAGCTGACTTTGTGCTCGCAGCAACCAAGCCGTACGTGAGGAGAAAGTGAGCCAACTTCACAGGAATATCAGGCTTTGGGGGAGCAGGACCGTCGTACAGGTACGTGGACGAGTGTTTCTCTAGCAGTGAGTGTGTAATCTCAAAATTTATTTTGTTTGTGTCAACTATGTTACGTAGATACAAGCGTCTGAGGAATTTTTGCGTCTTTAGGGGATCTACTGCTACCTGAACATCCTTGCTTGATCCGCATGTGGGGGGTGAGTGGTGTGGTAATAAAGCCCATTGACTTATTCTCGTTGAAAGCGTAAGCACGAAGAAACGCTGTACTGTCAGACGCTGATAGAAATACATCCCTAAATGTAACTGACTGCCTCCCGTACTTGGACTGAAGGTTAACCTTGCCTGGTTCCATGATAGTTGTAGAGTGAGCGACTATGTAATGGAGCGGTACATGTGGAGTCGTCCTCGCTTCTGACCCAAGGATATTTTTTTACTAGTGAACTTCAACAAATGTAACCAATCAAACAGCATTTATAGACATGTGTATGTTTTACGGTCAGTTTGGAAAAGTTTGATGTATTTACGGTCAGTTGCGATAATTATCCCTCCCAAGTACTAGAATGTCTTTGTCACGTTTATTTATACCGGGATATAAGTCATGTAAAGACGTTGGTTTATTAATGATAGCCCTCTTCTTTAAAATCGTTCTCGGCGGCAACCCGCCCGTGTTGAATGTCGATCGACAATGTGCTGGTCGCGTTTGGTGTGTCAAAAGCACTGTTGTTGCAGTTGGGGCCAGGCATGTCGAGCTCTTCAAGATCCTGTAAGGCATGGCAGTGCCATTGAAGTCGCCAGTGATTGGCGTGGCATTCGGGCGTACTACGTTGGCGTTGTCGATTCATTCAGACTTTAAGAACCCGAGGAAATCACGATTCGCGAATCGAGCCGCGATATGTACCTCCGAAAAGGATATGCTGCCAGCGCGTCGCTGACACACGTACATGAAAATACATGTACTGACAACCACAGCGCCTCGGTGTTCGAGGGCTCGACATTCGTATCATCCCCTCGCAAGATTTTGGTGCAGCAATGTTCAATACATGTACAAAGTACTTCGAAGTAAAAATGTTCATGTGCAAAAGTACTTGAACCTTGGCGACCTAAATCTTGCAAGGGG